TATTATTATTATCTAACTATGAAATGAAGGTCTTATCTCGGGTCCAATACTACTCTTGTTCTTTAAATCATGGTGGCTTACATACTCGTACCTGTTACTTAACAGTTTTAACTTGATCTACATGGGACTGTGGCATTACGTAGGGGGTGTTCAGTGTGGAGATGTAGCCCTGGATTAAGGCTGACACAATGCCTTAGCAGCCACAGCTAATTAAAGACGAGCTGCAGCTGTGAGGACCCTTTAAGAGCACACTGAACACCTCCCTGGAGGGACAAGTACACCCCCTCAAGGGGAGAACCTTCCAGAAACAGTCCTAGAGGGGATTGTGACACAAGTGTAAGTTTGATGTTTTTCTTCTTTTTGTTTTCTTTGTCTTTTGTACTGCCCACTGTGTAACTCCCACCAGGACAGATTAAGTTTATTTTGATTTTGGCTTTGCGCTCCTTTTCTTCCACACTGGACCCCGTTAGATAGGGTACTTCCAGTCGGATTACCATTGTAGGCTCCTCCTACTCCCGCATTGTTTCAGGGACTGTCTGTACCTCTTTCTTGAATTTTAATCTTGTTGACCAAAGGACTAGGTTTCTTAGCAAAGTGGAATGGACTTTGTCTATTTGCTTACAAGGTATGATCCTTTGCTTTATAATTCTATAATTCCTTATGATACATTTGTCACCTATGTGTAGTTTCTCTTACCCAACTTTAGTTTTTAGATACAAAAAGAGCTGCATTTGATCCACATAGTCAAGGCACTCACACAACCCAGAAAGATTAGCTGCTTTAAGGAAAATGGTGTGACATCAAAAGGTAAAAGATAATGTCCTAGTATCTGCATAAAGTATTCTGTCATTACCTGATGTGGTGTCATACCAGTAATGAAATGTAGTGTGGTCTGCATAGACATAAGCCATAAAGTCAATATCTATGCTTACCTTCTGTTTTTTTCTTGACTAATATGTGTTGGCATAGTTTTCATCATGTGATTGCCACACACCACTTCTCCAGACTGCTGCTTCTGGATCAGTGTATTGCCTTTTCAGTTTCTGAATTAAATTAATGTCCAAGCCCAGTGCCAAAATCTATAAAATATAAAACATCCATTGGTCCAGGACCATCAGAGATTGGTTTTCCTCTCCGCTACGCCCACACACTGTCAACTGCCCAATACTTTCATAGTGCGTACAATCATATTCCAGAGTCCACAGGAAATCATGTCATCAAATTGTCGGTTAGCTACACTCATGTGTCATAATAGTCCTTATTATTGAGCCAGCTCTCATCCTCAAAATTGTTCTCAGTTCCAAGTTGAAGGTTAGACTGGTTTTGACACGATGTTTATGATGTGATGTGTTTAAACAGAAGCCAGACGTAATAACATCCGGGTTAAAGATACCAACTAGTAACCCCAACAACGTTAACTTGCAAGCAGACACGGCATATCTCACACTAATCCTGAAAGTTATCCTTAATACTAGGCCACCTATAGTACTAAGAAATCTTCTATATTGTTTTGTCTTAGAATAATGTCCTTCAATAGCACAACTGGGAAAGAGATCTAAAATGTCACGTGCCAAATATGTTAGAACATACTGTACACCTCAGGATAGAGATGATTTGACATTAACCAAACATGTTTTTTATCTTCACCCACTAGGGCAGTATTATAATTCAGTCCAATAATTCAGCCATGACAGTGGCTTGCTTTGTAGATACTGTAACACAACAGGGTTCAGGTGGGCGCCCTTGCCGCATTAGGTCGGCCCCGCACCGTCAGAGGCTCGAACCCGGGACTCCCGCGTCACTCAACAGGGACCCAGCCCGGTGAGCTTAAGAGAGATCTCTTCACAGCCCAGGGGCTGTGGTCCTGCTATTACAGGGAAGGGCGGTGACGTCACCGCTCTGGTAAGCCAGCTCTTACACAGTGCCTGTCGGCCGTAAGCGTTACAATACCATTGAATAGTGACCTGAAATTTTATGTCTGATTTCAAAATTTCTGATCAAGATCAGGGAGGAATTGTTAGAATACTGAGTTATTATCAGGTTCTGGAGGATGCAATGAAGAACTATGACTAATTGAACATTTGTCAGCCTGTGAATTTTTGGAAAGATACTCATCTCTGTGATCCTTCATAACACAGGCTTTAACTTTGAGATAAAAATGCAGTAGTAAAATGGTATATTTGAGTGGTTGATAATAATAAGCAGTAACACACATTAATCTAAATATGCAATATATAAAGACTAGGGTGGAATTGTTTAAAAACACATCAAAGGACATTCACAAACTCGCTGTTGTGGTATCAGATTATATTTCTTTCTGCGTCAACTCTATCATCCCTACCAAAAGCTTTAAGGCTTTTCCCAACAACAAACCCTGGGTAACAAAAAGCTTTAATCATATCCTCCTAAAAAAGAAACAAGCTTTTTCTCAAGAGGACACCCAGCTCAGGAAGGAAGTCCAGAGGTAAAAAAGGAGATCAGGAAAGCTAAGGAACAGTATAGGGTAAAAATAGAGAACACCATGACACCATGACACCAGGTGACACCAGGTGACACCAGGATGGCATGGCAGGGCATTAAAAGCCAATATCCCTCAGAAGCATAGTGGCAGCACTATACCTCTGTTAAATGGTATGGATGGGCAACAGCCAACCAATGATCTGACTGTGTTTTATACCCACTTTGAGTTGAAATCGACAACCACCTCAGCTCATAGTGATATTCACCCTGTATCTGGAGAGACTTCAAAAATGAGGAAAATCAATATTAGGAAAAGTTCAGGTTCAGATAATGTGTGTGGTAGGGTCCTACAGTCTTGTGCAGATCAGCTTTGCAATATTTTTAGTTTTCTCTTCCAGATGTCCTTAAACTTACAGATCATTCCCTCTCTGTGGAAGAAATCCATCATTATTCCTCTTCCTAAAACTGCCAAGCCTAGTGGCCTTAACAGCTACAGGCCGGTAGCCCTGACATCTCTCCCAATGAAAACTCTTGAGAGAATAGTGAAGCAACACATCACAAAGAGCATACAAGCCCTCATCGACCCCCTGCAGTTTGCATACAGGGAAAGGAAGGGAGTAGACGATGCAGTTCGCACATTGTTAAATCTGGTCTATCAACATCTGGACCAACCAGGGACCTTTGTAATGATTTTATTTGCTGACTTCTCTGCTTTCAACACAATACAACCACTGTTTCTTGCACAGAAATTCTCAAAGTACTTCAATCTGAATGATAACTTTATAAGGTGGGTGCTAGACTTCGTAACTAACAGGTCTCAACAGGTCAGATTGGGGAAGTGCTTATCTGACATTCACTACACATCGATTGGATCA